CACTGCATCACCGATAAAGTACCACAGGCAAATTTGTTCCACACCTTTCGAGTTTCGCGATAGTCGAATTTTTTGCATTTTAATGTACGATTTTTTTTATTTTGATTAAAAGATGAATAAAAATTCCACGATCTGATGTGGCTAAAGCACGGCTTTAGTGTGTGGTATTATTTATTAACAATCTAATCAAAAATAAAGAACAAAGGCGGGAACACAAACTTATGTTTGATTCAGATTAAAAAAGGTTACACGACACATGCTGAGGTCGAATAGCGACTGAGTCTTTCCGGGCGTCGCGATGCCGACGCCACCTTTCGTATGCACCTCTCACTGATGTTAGCTACCCTTCATACCCCTCAAAGCAGTACAACCTCCTTCGTTGGCCCGACGCAGCTGCAAGTTCGACCGCGACGCGTACGCGCACCTCCGTGCCATCCTGTAGGTGGCTGACCGACGACGACCTGCTCTACTGTTTTCAGTAGTCTGCATCATTCAGCTTGTTTTCTTATGCCGTACATTATTTCTTGTGGCATTTTTGACATTTTTTAAAATCTCAGACGATGCTTGTTGCATTCAAGAACATTCCTCCGTCATTATTAAATGGATTAGAGGATTAATTATAATTTTTTTTCCAAGTTTACGCGGATCATACGCGTCAATGCATATACTTTAATGCTTACGGTAAGATATCGATTTCCAATTGTTGACCAAGCCGCAAGTGCAACGTAAAGCCCTCGTTTCTTCGATTGTGTGCATGTATAGATGCATTCCGAGCCTCTCTTGCCCTTAGGGTGAAGTCCAAACCCACTTCTTGCTTTCCCTGTACTTGAATACATCAGTTGGCCTTCCTTAATTCAGATACACTAGATATATGTTGCTCAAGCTCGAGTGAATCCACTTCCCATCGACCTTCTCGAGGACAATGACTGACCTCACAGCTAAAACTCGAGTTCAAAAACATCACGTATCGATTTCATGATTATTGCGTTCTACACTTAATAGAAGAGTATAATTTATTTTTATATGATTAAAATTTCTTGTGGACATCATTTAAATTGAGTTAAAATAAGTTTTGGAAAAGTAATTATTGGATTTAATGAAAACTCTACAGTTGAATATTCTTTTATATAAATGCATTATTGGTATCCCAAGACGTCTTCGAATTGTAAAGAGATTATTAAGCTTGAAACTTTTTTCCAATTTCAAGACTCTCTCCCCTCTAACTCACTCCGGATATCAAAGAATTCTTACTATAAAACTTTTTCTTTCTATTGATGGCAGTATTTAATCATTTTTATTCCAACGATCATTTTGTATAATTTGTTACTTTGTTAAAAAAAATTTGAATCTGAGACAAAAGTTAAGGGTACTGCTGAACTGTCATACTAAAAATAAAACTGATTCCAAGACTTTTGTAATTGGCGCCAGAAAAGTATAATATAAACAAACTACAGCATATTTTAAAATGTTTATTTTTCTTTAAACACTTGTTAAGCACTGGACTTGCAGTGATTAGCAATCGTTTGGGTCTAGTATGTAAACTCGTATGGAAAAAAATATATTTTTAAAAACATATTATAATAGGATTATTCCGTCAAATCTGGTATAATTAAGTATAAAAAATTTTTAATTATATCATTGACTATGAAAATATATTTAATTATATTTTTATATATTATCTGGAATAAATAGAAAAAAACCAGCAGTCATTGAAATTTCTATGATTAGTTTCATTACTATTACCTATTTTCAACCACTTTTTGTTGATTTATTACTTCAGAGCAGCATAACATTAATATTCTGTATTGATTGCATTTCTATCTTGCTAACAGACGGTTCGTTAAGAATGAATAACACAAATGAAAACGAAAATGTTTTTCGGAGATTTTTTTGATGTATATATATATATATATATATATTTACAGATAATGGATTGAAAACTCAAGTTTTGTAAGAACATGTCTCTAGAATATTTTCCCCATTTTTCTACTCTTGAGAAATGGATAGCCAGGGGTAGAGAAGGTTGTTTCATTCGTCGCGTGAGTTGAATATCGTAGTTTATGGATGAAACAGGAAAAACGTCGGGAAAAGATTTAGATTGCAAAATATTTTTCAAAAAAGTTACCGAAAAAAAATCTCAAGTTAACTTGAATTGCACTCATTCATTTATTTTCCTTCTTTCTATTTCGTTGCAAAGATAACGAAAGCTTTCGTGGATGAAAAAGCTACTTCTACGGATGGGGATTTTTTTTTGTTTAAATCTAAAGTTATTAACGGATCAATAAGTATCATCATCTAAATGGCTTAATTTAAACGCTAGAATTCTTTGTTTCAAACAATTGAAATAGAAATTTATCTATAATTTTATTACCATGAAAACAAAAAATTCTGTTTATTTTAATAAAAAAAATTATATTATGCGCATGCGCGGAGCAATTTTTTGTAAATCTATATCAAAATAAATGACTCTACCTAACCTTTCAACGAAGAAAGATATAAAATTTTTGGATAAATATTATGGAACATTAATAATCGAATAATTTTTTTTATTTTAGCAAAGTGCACTGAGTAATTAATGAATAAAATTTTTAATATTCACAAAACAGGATATTACTGTGAAAAATATTTCCTATAAAAAGTTTTTCCAATTTTTTGTTTAATACTTTTTCCAGCCAAACGACTGTAAAAAGGAAAAAAAATTCAAAGCTCTACAATGCATGGAATATTTATTCATCATACAATATTGCAATAACAAATATAGTAGGATGATGATGTTCAGATCAATAAAATGAATGTGATAAAAATAATACTAAATACACATTATTTGAATAAATTGATCATCAAACGATTAAAACAGAGACTGTATAAGTAACTAAGTGCAAATATCGATCAGAATATCATTTATACGTTTACTAGACGACAAACAGTTTTTTTTCTATTTTTTGCAATGTTTCAACTTTTTTCTCTTTTTATTCTCGAAATTGATTGTTTCATATTTTTAAGAATTTAATAATAAAAGTCCTCAACTAAAAGAACGAACTGTTGTCAAATTGAAAGTAATTATATTTTTATTTGAAAAAAAAGGTGAAAAAATAGAACAAAATGTAGTTTAACAAAAGATTTCTTATATCACGTTACAATCAGAAATGTTAGTATCAACTTTATGGCTTCAGTTTAAACTAAAGAAGAGAAACCTAATAACCTTGTCTGATGTTTTAAAATTTATGTGACATTCTAACAATTATAAGTGCTACTTTTTAACACTTTTATCGTTCTAGAGTCGATTTAGAAAACCCATTCAGAAATGTTTTTATTAATTTTATCTCTTAAATATTCTGAACACGTAATAATTTTCGTTTAAATCCCCAATAATCCTCAAATATTATTCCACATATATTTAATTTAGAAAAATAAAATATAATAACTCGTGTTTCCCAAAACAATAAGTCATAACTAAGAGGGAAGTGATGGTATTTAAATGTGTCTCAATGAGACTCATAACTCATCAGATCTAGTTGATAAGGGAATTTTTTTAGTCTAAAAAATCATAAAAATACCATTTTATTTTGGCTATTAAATTTATGTGTGCTAGATGACAATAAAAAAAAAGATAACTCTTCAATCAGATTTATTCCTAACTCTATTAAAGTCAGGAGAATAAATATTAAAAATATATTCAATCGATTAAAGTATTTTACCAACTAAAAAACATAGAAACTGATAGGTCAATAATTGGATCAAGCCTCCACATGTATTTGCAGCTATTGACAGCATAGCCATCTAGTAGTTGTACAAAAATTTGATACCGATCAACTACTAGGGCGTCCACCCTAATCGAATGGGTTTGATTTGCGCGAACGCATTCATTTATTTCAAAGGATCAATTTATTAGTATTTATACAATGCTGATTTTTTACAAATTAAGTATTATAATTATCCATGAATATTTACTTGGCTTAAACACAAACACAGTATTTAATGGTTGTTCAGATAATTATGCGTTCATGTTTAAATATGGAATCTGGTGACATTTAATATTATATAAAACATATTTTCATCGTGGAATATCCATTCGACATGAATGTTTATTAAATTTATCAAAAATAATTTGTTTAATAGTATTATATACTTGGGCAGAGTATTCATTTTACGAGATTGCAGTCATTCAGGAGTTCACTAATCTGATTAGCTAATGTTTTAATGGAGATTACTAAGTCTGTACCTTAGAGTGGATCCTGTAGTCTACAACTCTGATTAAGTATCTAATAGAACAAAATACCTAAGGAAAAAAGTCGATGGTAATGATCATTGTTTTCGTGATAAACGAGTGATAGCAATTTAGCAGGATTCTATCAAGCATTATGTAAATGATGAGTGATAATCATTTACTGGTACTCATTAATTTTTTAACGACATTGATCTGATCTCTGAATGAAGTTAAATTGCCAAAGAAAATATTTAGTTTCGATACCAGCGATATATTCAATTCAAGTGAGTTGCCAACATTTCAAGATAGAAAAACAGTTTTATTCATGTGTCTACACTCAGAAAAATTTCTAGCCACTTCAACTAGAAAACATCACTATCAAGCTGTAATTGGTGCTTTTTAATACAGCGATAGCATGAAATGATAGAGTCGACTTTTTTAATTTTTTCCAGTAAGAAAAAATATTTTAGAGATTTATAATGAAATATAAATTAGTATCCTAATAACTCTGGATAAGAATATCAAGTTTTCCAATAGAACTTTAGAGATATTGCCTTCTAGATATTCTGATATAAACTTGTTGCTATCAGATAATATAACTGCTATGCTATTCATTAGCAATATTACACCAATGTAGGTAATTTTGCCCATGAACCTATTCAGTTACGTGTGATTAGGCATTACAGCTGTTTGGAATGATAAGAAGTTGGAGCATCAGGTGCAAATATGCAATCAATATAGTTCACTCGGTTGCAGTCAAAGGAGATTTTAAAGAGAAAGTAATATTACTTACCCTGTGTGTTGCCGTTAAACTGATTAGTTGATGGAATTCCTGGATAAAGGGGCGAGGGATGAGGTGAGGGTTGATTGCTGTTGGATCCAGTACAAATCGAATGGGTGTTGCCAGTCGTCGTAGGGGTTGGAGCACTCGAGATCGGTTGCTGGCATTGCTGGCCAGCCGTTGGGGTCGCCGTTGGCGTTCCACCACCCGGTGTTGGTTGTTGCTGCTGATTATGCTGCTGCTGTGGCGTTGGAGGTTTCTGAATATACATCGAGTCAGTTGTTGGACCTAAAATGCATCATTTTTATGATTAATATTTTGTTTTGTTAAATATTAATAGATAAAATTTTTTTGCTTAATTTCTCAAATACTAGCATACAGATTTTGAAAGATTCATTTGATTGGGAATATAATATATTAGAATGAAATAGCATAGAATAACTTGATTCACTGATTTTGATTGATAGTACTGAAGAATTATTTTTTGCTTGCAGAAGCATTTTCAAGAGTAAAAGCGTCAAATGTCCAATTCCATAGATTTTATTTTCTGAGGTTACAACTGATAGAAAATTGAAACTCAGACTTAGAGTTTGAATTTATTTCTTGTCAACTTATTGATTTCTGAAGTTTTATGGATAAATTTTTAACAGGTTCGTATAACAAAGTCTAGACTGTTAGGGTTTATAGCCTATGGTTGTGAATTTTAAAAAATCAAGTCTTTATTTACTATCACACACAGTGGTAATATAAATTTATAACAGTGGAACTTTGTAGAAAATATATGTTGAGGTATAAAGGATCAACTTTTCATACAACTGTCAAGTTTAAAAGTATTTTCTGAATGAACTTTGTTCGATTATATTTTCAACAAAGCTACATTATCCTTTATTCCACAGCTTGATAGTATGAATAGAACTTCTAAAGTTGTGCTTTATTTAAAAACATGTTTGACCATAGGTTTATGCTAAGAATCGACTTTCAACTCCATTAGCCTAATAACTGTTGAAGCCTTCAACAGGATTGCAGAGTGTTCTGGGTTATATGCAAATTATTATGTATGAAGAAGTAAATATGTAACTAGTATATTAACTCAATTTGTTGCAGGAACTATTTTAAAGTTTCTCTGTACGCGAAACTAAGTGTAATAAATAATTCCTAAGGTAAATATGTTAGCTTAAGGATTAGTTATCTCTCAAATTCACATTACAGTGTTTAAAATGGTTCAAGTGCTTTCTATCATTTTAGATCTGCAAAACTGAGAACCCACTTAAGTTCTTAAACTTTTCATTTTAAAAATTAACCATGGCTTTATTTTATTCTTTAATCATTGAAACACAAAGCTCGGATTAAGATTTAAGTTTCAATCTATTAAGATTCAGTCAAAAAAAACCAAAAATGTTTTTTATGAAATGAGTTGCTAAGCAGTTTACAAGTTTAAATATTGTATTAAAAAAAAACTTTACTGACACTTTTGGCTGAAGAGAAGGTAATATGAAACAATTCTGCAGAATTAACAAGTGTCATTTTTCTCCTACATTGAAATTAACGTGACTGTTATAAATGTTTGACTGTTATCGATGTTATATTTCTATTATAAATATAGTCATTGAGATCAAAAGTACATTTCAATCTTAATCAATTTCTTTTATGAAATGACAATTTTTGAGATTGTTCAATATTTTTTGAATTATTTGCATACTTCCAGATATTTTTGCTTTTTTATGAAGAGTTGATAATGCAGAGTCAAACTCACCATTCTCTGGTATTGTAGTGATTGGACTCTCGGGTAGAAGAATTCCCTTCTGTACCAACTCTTCGCGGTTTGCTCGAACAGATATTTTACGTTCAAGAGCTGAAAAAATAAAAAACCATTCAATAACTGAGCAATCGTAGGTAAAAGAAAAAATAATTCAACATGCAATAATTTTCAAGATAGTAACTTACATCGTGATGTGGCTTCAAATTTATCTGATTTCTTTTTTCGTTTCCATTTCCAAGGTTTAAAAAGTCTACCCAGCGCGGAAAATTTACTCTTCCTTTCCAACGGGGGTGTTCTCGCTCCCGACCCCAAGCTATTCGTTCGTAAAGCTGCTCCATTTTGTTTCTTGGCTGCAACAAAAAATATTTATGCAATTTTCTACAATAAACTTAATTCATAAATGAATATTATCAGTGATAATGATATTACAGAATATTTGTCAATGAATTACATTGCGAATCACAGTCATAAAAATTATCTTATCAGTTTACGATAAGATTCATAACAGCCTCAGGCAGAGAGAAAACTTTTCTCTGCTCCAAAGTAATAAGCAGTAATGAACCACTGTAGATCTCTCTGTTATCGACCATCATCAACTAGCGACCATCGATGGCATGATAAGAAGAATCATCACATCATCATTGATAAAAAGAAATGATTAATATTTCCTTCATTAATTTACACAGGATAATTGACAAGACTTCTATTCAACAGCTATGTGCAAGTAAATAATTATTCAATTTTTTTAAACCGTGTGAAATGTTTCAATAACACCAACAAGATATATTTTTTATGATTCAATAAAATTCTCATAAAATTTTATATAAGCACTGGATGAAAAATTTATTGAACAATCAATTGGAACGTAGGAAAGATTTATAGACTGTGATCACTCCAATCAAAACCTCTTCCGATGTTACTCGACACATTTTGTAACTATCTAGATACTCTCATCGATTATCGATAGATAATATGATTACGTAATGTTTCAAAGCAATAAAAAAAATATCAACTAGGTAATATTAGACTCATATTTCATACAAAATAGTATACATATTAAATCCCTTTAAAAATCAATTATATTAAGAAAAAAAATTTTCAAACTTCAATTCTACTTGTATTGTATCTATTATTTTACAACAAAAGTTCAAGTATATTTGATGATACTTGTGACTTTTATCATCTTATAATACTTAAATATTTTTAGTACTCGCAACGAAAGTAAAAGTAATTTTTACTGTATCAATAAAGATATTTTACTGCTCAATTAAAAATTTAAAATTCGTTTTAATTTAATTTATAAAATAATGAATCATTTGTCGTAGTAAGATTGAACCTATAATTTTCCTCATCGACATAATTATGTTCATAATACTATCGATCAAAGAACAATCATGCTTGATGTTATTAAAGTAACCTCCTGAATATTAATGAATTAATTTTTTTTTCATTAACTTTTCTATCAGTAATAAGCTAGGAAAAGCATGTATTGTCGAGATGAAAGGTAATTTTTCACTTGGTACTCAATAGCTTTCATGATATTAAATCCTCCTACTATATGTATCAGAAATAAAGGTGGCATAGCGAGCGTCATTGAGCCTGAAATCGATATTTGATAAGCTTCAAACGAGTACATGGATAATTTAGCGGTGTTTTCGATTCCACTGGGGCTTATCAATAACTCGAGACATGCTCAAGTATGTCGACGACCCCACAGGCGTGTTTCAATATCTTAGTTGTATACCTCTACGATCTCTAACACTATTTTCTCTGGATACTGATTAAAGATAACTTATATTCATCACTTTTCTTTCAATTTTTTTTTTTTTAATTTGAAGAAGTTTTCCCTGATTAGGAATAAATAAAATTCTGAATAACTTAAAAATTTTCTTCTTTATAAATTATAAAAGTTTATTCGATACTGAATAAAAGAGCAATATAAATAGAAAAAAAATTAGCTAATTGTTTGTAAGTTGATAGAGTTTTTTTTCCAATACTGAGATATAATTGATATCTATTTCACCAACTAAAATTGAATCCATTAAATATCTCAAACAAAACCAATAATCTAATTTCAAGTTAATCAATCATTTATACGACGAAAAAGATCTTTTTTTTTATTATCACTTGATTCAATAACTCTTCAATGAGTGAAATATTTATTCCATTAACACATGATTGTGTCAATTAATCAAATTATTTTATTAATAATCAATATCAAAGCTCATAACAAATATTTTTAGATAATTTTTTACCTTCAAAGATTTTTCTTACTCTAGTATTTTTAATTTTATTTCTGCCAATTTAAGCATTTGAAAACTAAATACTTAAAGTGTTCATAATGTTCAATACTTCAAATTTTTTAATACTGAAAACTTCAATTTCCTTTAGAATAATAATATAAAATTATGAATTTTACACACACATTACACACTTAAAATAGGTAAAAAGTGAACACACTTTAGATGTATTTTTCAAACACGTTTGTGAAATCGTGGATTTGTAGTGCATAGTTAAAGAAAATTTAAATAATATGGTGATTAATTTATCTAGGAAAGTCTGCTTACTACAGTCAAGAAATTGCCCCGATTATGAACTTGTGAGTACCGCTTAGGGAAACTGCGACCCTTATTTTCTCTTGTGTACCCTTTTGAAATGATTTTCTCCGAGTTAATTCACCATCTCTACATCTGCTTGTGTCTTTAAATTCTTCCGAGTATCGAAGATTTAACAGCACTCCAGACCTGACTATGAAAATCAAACTCAAGTGAAGGGATGTTATTGAAGTAAAAGAGAGAAAGATCGTTTCCATGGTGATTTTCCGTACTTTGTTTTCGGTCTACAATTACCCCGACTAGCAGACGGATAACTCTGGTTTTTATTCTTCCTTTTTTTAGCATCAGAAATAAAATGGAAAGTTGCATATTTCGAGTTTAAATATTATTTAGATGTTTATTTCTAAAATATTCTATTAAAAATACACCACTGCTTTATAATTAAATGTTTAATTTTATAATAATACACACCCTAAATGAATTTTAAAAAAATTCTTCAATTAAAAATTTATTAATTAAAAAAAAATGACTAAATATTTAGTGACTTTAAAATAATTTAAATCTTGAGATGTTAAAAAATGTATTTATTAAATAGTCAAGTGTCGAGAGAACATTTAACCGTCCAATTATCAAAAAAAAAATTGCCACGGTCTCTCGAAATTACGTCTGAAGGAAGTTAAATGGTAACCAGAAAAAAGCTTTGCCTTCTGACGCTGCTTTGTGCTAGAAAATGATTGAATCTGACGGTGCCTGTTTTCTTCTCGTCTCTTTGGATCTCTTTTTATTTTTTTCTCTTCTTCCTTTAGATCTTCCTTTACTTTATGCTCTTTGTGCTATATAGACCCCATAGAGCCTTCGTACAATAACCTCTATAGTGCGCACGCTCTAAACTCGTCAACATCGACGACTCATGACGACCGAATTGCATTTACCAGTTTGCATGGCACTTATAATCTAGACCACCCAAGTAACGGTCTACACTTTACTTTGATTCATTTGGCATTCAAATAAATTATCTAATGTTTACTAAACAATTTTTTTTCTCTTTTTTATTCTATTCCCATCTCATTTAATATTTAATCAATCAATTTAAACCCTCATTACCAGACAAAACAACGTCAAAAAAGATTTTACCATTTTAAATCAATTTAGGAAAAATGTTTTATTAATAGTATCGAATATAAAATAAATGAATTTCATCAATTTCTACTTTCATGTATTTTAATTGACTTTTTTCGTAAAAGTCATTGATGACTGACAGAGAAAAAATCACTTCCAGCCGAATAAATAGAAAAAGAAGTATCCAATAGTTGTTGCTGCGTGAAGATTAACCTTATTCCCCAACAATTTTTTCCCGATGAAGCGTAGCTAAACGTTCGGCCTGAATTCTTCAGCCTTTCCCTTCTATCTATTTATTTAATGATAAAATCCTTGAGGAAGTTAGTAAACGAATGTTTAACAACAACAATCTGTCATTAATAAACTATCGAACTATATAAAAATAACCAAGCATTAGAGCGATGGAAAAAAAATCTCAAAACATGGGAAATAATTAATTAGAACGTTTGCTAATTATTGTAGCCTACAAAGAAGAACAGGGTTAAGTAAATAGAGTTAAGTAAGTAAACGTGAACTGTTAATAGTCTATTACAACTATCAATTTGTTTTAATGATGACTATTAGATAAATTAAGCTGTGTTGATGATGTCGTGTGTTTTATTACCTATGGGACTTCCGTTTCGGGTGGAGACACTTCCGGAGGACGCATGTATCGCTCGTAAAGTCTGTGAGTAACGTAAATACGTACTATAACGTACATGTTACCTATATACAACAAGCACCGTTAGCTGTGAAGATTAAACTATCGTTCACTCTTTCATTCTCTTTCTCTTTCCTTCAAGTCCAAGTCAATGTATGTTCCCGCGTGGTCAGATAAAACGGTTTATACCGATCTCGTGTACGCGTAAACGGGTTTGCACCATTGCGTGTAGTGTTTCATTACTAGATCTCCCCACCGGAAGTATACGCCCTGGAACCGTGACCGAATTTTTCATGACTTTCCTAATTCCACAGCATTTCTTTCACTATTTCTCACCCTAAAAATTCTCTTCGTGATAAACATTAATTAATCTTCTTTTTTTTATTGCATTCGTGTTTTATATTGTTATGTAGTAATAAAACTTTTCCAAGAACTTTGTTTATTTAATTCTTTCTTGTTTATGTAGTTGATGTAATTAAAAGTTCATTAGAAAATTTTTAATCTAGAGAATAATTATGAATATTAAATTTTTCGTTATGCATTGTGAGTAATTGGACCTATGAAGAGTTAAAGTTTAACTTCTTAATATTATGTAGAATAACTGGTTGTATGTAAATATTGCCTCTAGGTACCGTACGAACCTTAAGTTATTGATAGATGTGGGTTTTCTATAGAATTTTTTTAATGTGAAGGATTGGAATGTAAATATAAAGTTCAATGTAGTTATATTCAAAACTAAGTCTATCTTTTGTTTAACTTTAAAAATTTATTATTTTTAGGTTTAGAATAATTTTATTAATAAATCATTGATAAATAAGATTATATAATGAAAGCTAAACCTAAAAAAATGTCCAGTGACAGGAACTACTTTGCATCACTGAAGTGTTGTAACAGAGATAAAACATTTCAGTAAACTGGTAATACGAGTGTTCGCCACAATTACTAGTATTTCTTTTAAGATATATCATTGATTACTCATTCATAAAATCGTTATTAAAAAATCTAACAAGTAAGTTGCATGATTGCTGTATGTTGA